GGTAATCAAATATGGATAGGCAAAAGCACAGGTAGACACAGTTTGCAGTTATTCCTCAAGTCAAAACATTGACGAGTGGTTCTTAATATTCTTTATTTGGCAATTCTTTCTACTTGGATAGACGCAATGTGTCAAGTAATGGTCACGGAAGAGCAAACGACAAGGATTTAACCCCTTTCAATAACTGTGGCTTCTCCTACTTATATTTAACTAAAAACAAGCTTTTACTACAGACAATTTATTATCAATCTGTAGACACTATCCTTGTCTACTGTGTCATATTCCCCTTTGTTGGGACTAAAGCGAAAGCCTATAGGTTGTCTTCGTCATCTCAATAATCCATCAAGCAACGGGTGGTGTATTTATGGTTTATCTAAAATGCATTTATTACTTAGACTAACTCTTTTATTAGAAAAAGAAAATTAACATGTAAATTCTAAGGTTAATCAAAATATTGTAAAAACTCAAACATCTTAAGTCATTTCTTTAACTACATACAGTTTCCGGCGAAAATAATGGTATTTTTATAAAAATCTAACACAAAAATTGGTTATCTTTACTTATAATAATATGTAAACGTATTATTATTTTTTTTTATTTACTTAATACGCCAAATACGATTAGGTTAAAGATAGCCTTGTCTTTATATTTGCATTTTAATAATCTCAGTTTGATTTGGATAGACAATAAACTTATAATAACCGCCTCAAATCTACTATAAGATGTTCGCGATTTAGACTTGTTAATTTAATCATAATCGAAAATACAAGTTTTGTCTAGTATGTCCAATCTGTTAACGTAAAATAGCTTTACATTTGCTGCTTGTCAACTTACCCCAAATTTATTCGTATAATTAATAAATTTAAAAGGAAGCTACTATTTATCTTACAAGCCAACGTTGCTAACACTATCACTAATTAGACAAATTTTGTGTAATTCTATATAGCTCGAAAATTTGTTATTTTTATTTCAATTTATTGTACTGTTAAGACATATTAATATATGTACAGCGCAATGAAAATAGTACTAATATAAATATTGGCATATCTTTTTAAAGCATTCCGATAGTTGTGCGTTAAGAGATCATACGCCTCAGATAGATCCCGGGGTGAAATCCTCAGCAGTGTGAGATATGTCGGAGTCAACTAATTGATCAAAATCATTGACAACTAATTGCTTCGGCGAATATGCAAAAGCATCCAATGCAAGGTCAATACAGAGACCCATGTCATACACATATGAAGTTTCGTATTAAGTAATTATTGAGAGTTTGAAAGAAGTTCGACGATATAAGTTTTTATTAAGTCATCATTTGCTTGGATGAGATGAGAGATAAGGTAACGGCATTCTACCTATTTACAAAAAAATTCTTCACAGTTAAAATAATTCAAAGTACTTGTAATCCAAATAACCGATCCATTGATACATCATGCTTATGATGCAATTTTTAAACAATGTTATTGGTTAAAAAGGTTACGGTTGCTCGTATAAAAATACGTGTAGTCAAAATAAACCGAGATATACTGTATCTAAAGCTTTTGCGATATCATTTGATGTCATGCGTAGTCCAAATAGAGACTTATTGGTAGATTATCTGTGCATTGAGTAAATTTTACTAAAAATGCAATCGATTGTTTAAAACGTGTGTGATCCAAATAAGGACTTATTGACTTTGGAAATTATTGCGGCTGCGTTTGGTGTATCATATAAACAAAATACGCTTTTTGTGTTGCACAAGATATTCAGCCCGCTTCCTCTGTGCGACCACTGTACGCGCGGTGCTATGTCAGCATTTTTGGATGAGGTTTCGATTACTAGCGATTAACTGCACAATTACTGACAACACTGGCAATTACTCATAGAAGATAATATGGTTGGGAATATTATCGAAGATGAATAGTTTACCCCGTGTTGGTGCGAAGATAAAGATGCAAATTTGTATTAAAATGGTCTAACCAAACATGGCTCCGACATAATAATTGTGAAAAAAAAGCGTTTTAAGCAAGTTGGCGTAAATTTTTAATGGACGTTTAAAGTTGAGTTAATAAATACGTCAGCCATTATTCTTCTATTGGTTTGGGATGCAAATTTGTATAGATGTGCTACGGAACATTGATTCATGTAAGACTTAACAAAACCGGTTTAAGCATAAGTGCGTTTTTCCACAGTCTATTCCAATTTAGCGTGGTGGTGCGACATACAATTACCAGCCCCCCAAACTGGTTTAGTTAATAAATAAGGATGATTAACAGATATTAAGAAACCACCTGTTTTTGTTTAATGGTAACCATGCGGACTTTGCAGACAGGCAGTATTTATTTACGCATGGTATGATGATGTCAGCAACGATCATAAATGCGCTTCCCCATGGCCTTTCCCCGTTTTTGGTATATCGATAATGAAAACTATGGAATTCTGTGCTAGTGACTGAAATGAAGATGGTAGTTACCTTCAGTGGGATGTTCGACTCAACTTTTGCGGACATCACCGACAGTACATTTAAAGCTTTAACGTTCCTGTTTTTTAATTTAATAACTATCATTATCCCTTAATAGGAATTGTAAAGATTATGAAATTAATACAGTAATACCTAGTCACTAAACAGACATACACGATCGAGTTCTTTCTCATGTGACCAATACTCGTCCATGATTGTGTTACAAACTGATTATGGGATGGAATTGTGGGTAATGAAAATGCACGAATATTCCCTCTTGCCTATGTATTAATGTCCCGTAAATCAGGAGAGTGTTACATTAGGCTATTTCAAGAGTTGATCGATTTGGCAATGAGATTATTTCCACTTGGTGCAATCTGAGCATGTTATATAACACTGATGAGAATTCAGTTTATTATTTCTTAATCAGATTATCTATAAACAGTAGTTTAGACAAGACGCTTAGGAAATCCGATTTTAATTTCAGCTAAGATCTTTCTTACATATCCATGCTATGCTTTGACCGACATGTCAGTTGTCATTGAAAGTTGTTCATGCAGATGCGTAGCTGTATCTTCATTGACTGTTGGTGTTGCAAAAGAATCTTGAGACATCTAGTGATCCTCAGTAGTTCCCGGAAAATCTGCGCACGATTAGCTTCTTTTGAAAAAGCCTCCGAATAGTTCTCAATCCACCACCTGAATATGCAGGTTTCTAAGAACATTGGGGGCTGTTTGTTTATATGTTACTACTTACTATACTAAGCGTGGAGATACATTTTTGTCTGATGTTGCCTGCATCAGCTGAGGATATCTCTGCCGATGTTATTCTGTAAACACCCAAATTATTTGACAGTTTCAGCAGGCATTTTCCCCTTTTGGCAGTTCAGGCTAAATGCAGATCAACATTTTCCATAATTTAGTACGATCGTGGATTGAATGCTCATATTCAATTACGTTGGGCAAACTGTACTATTTAAGAAAATAGTAAAGAATGTATAAATTTCTCAAAGTAAAAAATTTAGCGGTTATTCTTGAGTTTACACACACGTTAGGCCAACTCATTATGCTAATACATGACATGATTACCATTACCATAATAAACCTTGCAGAATAACTAGGTAAATTTTTTCGGAATTGCGCAATATGTTTTTATTAGGCGTAGCCTCATAAAACTCAATATATCACATTTATGCCAGTAAACGTTTAATATGCTGTAAACGATATGAAAGTTCAATAACTACTTGTTGACGCAATTGTTGGGATAAACAACTTGTTAAAACATGCTGAACGATTACTTTTATGGTTTGTACCGTACAATTGAATTAGTGTCTATATTTGCACAATTAAGTCTAGTAATAGTAACTTAGCAAATTGCATAAAATATTGTATGCAATGAGTCAATGATAATAAATATCATTATATTAATATACATACATGAAATCATGTAAAGTTGTTACACTTGTTTGTGTACTTAAATAGAACAATATAGAAAAAAAATAGAAAAAAAAATATTATGGGAAAAGACCAGCATTATTAAATAATACACCATCGGACTGTGTTCCAACATTTGCAAGTGCACAACCAAATATGAACTCTTGGTAAAATGAGGGTAATGTCGGTGGTATTGAAACTGATGACAACAAGAGGTTCCGTTCTTAGGTGAATCTCCAAGTAGCATTACAAAAGCCGACAGTAAGGGTTCAGTTTTTTGGGGTCTATGCCAAATTTCCAATTACTGGCGGAGGAATTTTGTGGTGAAATTGACTAGAGCCGGTAGATTTTTTTTCGAGCCGGTACGGAGCAGCATCGATTAGTGAAATTGCAGTTAACAAAAAGAATAAGAAGATAAGTTTTCGATTTAAGACAGCAGTTCTTCTGTCGAGCCGGTGCGGAGCAGCATCGATCACTGAAATTGCAGCTAACAAAAATAATAGGAAGAGAAGTTTTCGATTCATGTTTTTATAAATATTATAAACAGATTGCAATCAAAGAAAGTCGAATTGCTACCATTTTTATAGAGACAATGGTCTTGTCCAACATTTCATCGAACATGGTATTACTTGACCTAATATGTCATATGCATTTGAACGAGGAATGTGGAGCATGAATGAATATAACGATGTTTTCCGATTTCCAACGTCCTGATATATTTTTAGCATTTGAATAATATTGTATACCTATCCAAAAAAAATTAGAAAGTGTCAAAAAAAGTGCCATCAGGGAAATATAAAGATGAAGTAATTGTTTGTATGTAACCATACACGTTACCTACACTTTATTATTTTCGTATCGATATGGTAATTTTAATTGTGGAACGATCATTTGTATAACGCAACGACATTACGATACTAATATAAATAAGTACATCAATTTATTATTTAATTATTTAAATATTTCTTGTTACATATGGCTACCTTTTTTTCCACTAACATTAGTAAGTCAGTATTGTCATTCATTTGTTCGGCGTTACCCTTTCTGCGATTTCTCCAATATACTAGTCATTATCTGGAATATCATGCGCAATATCCTTCAGGAATAATGGATTCGAGAGATAAAGCTTTTCACTCAAAGTATAAATCGTTGGGATTATCTGCAAGGTCAATCTTCATCCTGTTAATGTTAGGAAAATCTTTGCATGATGCAGCTATGGTCTTCGCTGCAATTTTATCCCAACTTCTATAACATAATTGAATGGCTTGAAGAGTACGTACGTAGTATCCACCTTCATATCTTGTATAAGCATACCATGAACAACCACCACGGGTACTAACTAGCTGCTGGTTCTACAACGGTAATCAGCAATTAAATATTAATACTCACAAGATAATTTTGAAAGAACGACAAATCGATCACTAAGTCCCAGATCGAGACTATGCCGGACCGTGCATTTGGAGATGCAGTCAGGGGTATGCATTTAGGGTGCGAGGTTTGTCTGCATTACAATGAGAAATTGTCAATGATGATTATTTTAAAGTTGTATAGAGCGATCATGGATAATACACAGTCAGTCTCGATAAGTCGGCCAACAGTAGCCCGCCTCAAATGACCGACTTATCAAAAATTACGTGATCGAATATATACGTTTAATTAAACCGTTTATTATTAATACTTTAATATAATTACATCGCAAACTAATCTTGAAGACTAGCTTGTCTTAGAGAATCGACTTGTTTATTGCTTTAATCGTAAGATCTAATGACATGTCTAGCGCTTTAATTGTGTGATTCTAACGATGTGTTTACTGCTTTAATCGTATGATCTAATGGCATGTCTAGTGCATTAATCGTATGACTTTAACCGTATGATCTAATGGCTTTAATCGTATGACTTTAATCGTATGACCTAATACTAACGCATGTTTAGCTCAGCTCTTTGATTGTATGATTCTAATTATAATGGCATGACATATTTGTATTTGTGTAGCCAATGTGTAAGTAATTGTATTGGGCAATTAATATACGTCTTACAAATTGTCATGTAAAACCGACTTATCGAGAATTTTAAATAGTGAAAAAGAGCCGAAAATTTTTGGCCGACTTAAGCCAAAACCGACTTATCGAGACTGTGTATATACAGTAAATTATGTAAAGTTAAAGATACGCACGTAACAGCCAAATTAGGTAAGTTATGAACAAATAGCAGTTACTAATCTCGCACTATAAACTGCTCGATGTTTAATTTTATACGCATTATCGATATAAGTTATACATTGTGGAATGACCAGTTGTTATTATTCGCTTGAACGTTGATTCGAAACGTTCCCGAATTTGATGTATTCCGCACCTCTGTCCGTATAACAGAATAGCACACTGAGGAGGTCATATATGTTTACACAAATTGAAGTTAATACTAATACGGTTCGTTAGCAAAATTTGGAGAGCAAGCGGTAGCAGTGCAAGTGACACACAACTTTTGGGAATTCATTTGAGATATTCAAATAATGAAATTAATTTTATAGATCAGACACTATTGGAATACGGAACACCCTTTAATAGTATAGATGTCACCCATAACATTCAGGTTCGCAGGTTCGCAGGTTCTGAGTTTATCACTTTTTGTACCTGAGGTACACCGTATAAACTTCCGAATGTGATAGCAGTCGATGATTTAACACGCTAGTCTAAAGCGCCATCTACATAAATTCGTAACTGAAATAATACAACTATCTATCTATTAGGCAGGGATTTCGGCCTCCAGGGGTTCCGTATCATTTCGCCGACAATCAACTACCGAAAAAGATAACTTCGAAATAATGTCGATTAAATGATTGCCTCCCATATACAGACAACTGATGTCCAGTTACGCATTCTAATAATGTATGAGCTATTAGAATAATTTTGTATGTAATTATTGCTAGTCACTAATACTTTCGAATACAGTTTTTCTGTTAACTGGATTCTATACGTCATTTGTGACTAATTTATTGCACGACGTAAAATAACATGTAGTAATCATCATCATCAGCAATAAAGTCATATAACATTGTGTTCAATGTTCAGGTGTGCACAGTACTAACTTATGATACATCTGTTTCATTTCGAATTGACATAGGTACCAATACTTACAATATATAGTATTATAACTAACTGATCTTCTTAGTACAAACTTCTTACTCAATATGAGGTATACAGTGGAAAAGAATTATTCGCTTGAACCTTGATTTGAAACGTCCTCGAATTTGATGATGACTTGAATGAAAATAATTTAAGAGGCTTTGCCCCTTCGGCACAAAATATTGTGATAACTATATACGAATACGGAAATAATTTTTGTATTGTAAAAATCAAACATACCGATGAAATGATTTCTTGAGAGTTCTATTTAATTAGCAAATTGCATTGTATATGCGAAGAATGATACCAATAATTTAGCGAGCATGCCGGAATAGAGATGCAAAATTTGATAAATACGTGTAGAATAGTTCATAATTGGTGGTATTCGTTAAATAAGGCACGTTTTCAGTGTTCGAAAAGAAAGAATATATATATTACATAATCGAATGTCATATTCATTCATATCGGTGTCTGCATACGGTAGAGACAAGATAAAATACAATTCATGCTGTAGGGGGACAGAGTCTGAGGTGATGGTAACTGTCGACGATGACGGTAATAGGACTTAACCCGCTTGTATCTTTCCCCACAAATTATTCGTAATGTTGAAAGTCCAGTAATAATCTTGCAATTTGGATTGTTCATTTAGGAATTACGTAGGAGGAATTACCTGGAATGGGTTTATCATCATAACATGTAGGTTGGCATCTATATGTCGATCGTTGTTACATTACGAATAATTTTTATACGAATGATGCGAATACCTTTACTTGCCTCACATATACATTAAATAGCACATTGAGTTGGTCTTGTACGTTTACATAATGGCACATTGTTTGATTAAAATACTTTATCCATGAGAACAAAAACACCAAACAAATATACGTATATAGAGAGATGCCGAATATACTGAATATACTATACGTCGTCACATGGTTATATTATCATGTTCATAGCAGTTGCAAAAGCATTGATGGCACTCATAAAGCTAACCAAATAATAATAAGACATTATGGAACCATCTTAATAGAAGTTAACCAATTGTCATTGTAATTCCATGCCACATGATTTGAATAAGTCACAGCATCAAAAGAGTAATTAGTGTTAACTTAACAAGTAAGGGTAGCTTCACCTCTATTGAAAGGAAGTTAAACCCCAAGTGTCAAAGACCATTGGTATGACAAAACCCAATCATCAATGACCCAACCCTAAATAACTCCTTTCTTAGTATGGGACAGGGTAAAGGTTTAGAGTCAAAAAGAAATTTGATTCTAGAGCCTTTGCCAAAGCTGTTGCTCCTGTATCTCCAATTTGATTATGCTGAAGATTCAAAGAAGTCAGAGAGGAATTTGATTCTAGAGCCTTTGCCAAAGCTGTTGCTCCTGTATCTCCAATTTGAT